AGAGTTCGAGAAGCTGCTGGCCCAGGAGAAGCGCACGATGGATGGATTCCGCATACGGGAAATACGCGATGTTCTCACGCTGGAGGAGCTCAAGGAGCGGGTGGATACGGTCGATATGCTCTTCACGACCATTGAGGTGAGTCCAAAACGGATGAAACTATCATCAAGCATGAGCCTTGCTTATCCTTGTACTCAAAAAAATAGAATCTAAGCCGCGAGGCAAAGGCCATCAATGTGGAGGAGACGCTGCTGCAAATCGATGTGTCCGCCTTCCCCCTGCTGGCGGAGATCATTGAGAAAATGGAACCAATCGAGAAGCTGTGGAAGACGTCGTACGAATTCGAAAAGGATTATCTCATTTGGTAAGCACTGGCGACATTTAAGCCCATTGCAATTATGCCTTGGACATCAGCAACGGGGAGGAGTAGGAGCAGGAGCAGCAACAGAAGCAGGAAATATTTGATATAGAAGTGTCCCCCAGTTCTCCGATCCGAGCACTCATTTCCATTGGCATTGCTCTGCAGCACGCAAATCCCAATACCCAATGGTTGTTCCCAGACACCATCACAGTTACAATCCCTATTCCAATTCCTATTTCTATTCCCATTCCTATGGAAAATGCCAGCAGAAAAGTTGAGTTCAAGTGCGGCGTAAAAATAGTCCGATTTTGAGCTACGACGAGTAGCCAAAGGGCCACAGCTGCAGCTGCAGCTTATGATGCTCCCCACTCCACTCATCTGCTCCAGCTACAGCTGAAGCTCCTACTCCTATTCCTACTGCTACTTGTATTCTTCTATTTTTGTTGTTGTTGTACTTCTATTTACATCTCTTTGGGTGTCCTTGCAGGATGTTCGAGCGCTTCGAATGCCTTAATGCGGATGGCGTGCGGGAGCAAGTGGAGAATATGCACAAGGTAAGTAGTTGCAAGTCGGAAGTTGTCATGCCATGACAGAGAGTCATCGCCAGAAGCTGGCGGAAATAAAAACGAGCAGTGACCGACAAAGTTTGAGCTGTTGTCGGATTTCTGTTGCTGCTCCTCCAATGGCCAGCCATGCAGGGCCTTCTGCCTCTGAGCCCACCACCCCAAATCCGTGTAGCTTCCGTCTCCCTTTGTGTGTGTCTGTCTCGTCTCTTTCTCTGTCTGTCTGTCTGTATGTAAGCCAATGTAGCAACTAAAATGCAACTAAAAACCTCAGGCCACCTCGGGCGACAGCAGCAATAGTACTATGAACTAGCCAGCCAGCCAGCCATCCAACAGCAGGCAGAAAAAAAAAAGAAAAAAGAAAGTTCCACTTGGCAGCCGAAAAGTATGCAAGGAAAAAATGCCCAACATATTTGGCGGCTGCTTGGGAAGCCAAGTCTCGACGGGCATGAGGATTGCTTGGGTTGTGTCGTGTTGTCCATGTGTCCCTCTGGGGTCAGCAGCAAGCAGCCGGGCTGAAAAAAAGCTGCCACAAAGGCGCAAAAGGAAAGTCAGTTGAATTGAATTTTTCGGCACAGTTGAAGCGGCAAAGTGGGGGACACCAGAGACCCCTTAAAAAAAAAAATGATATAAAAAGCAAAGAAAGCAAAGCCTCACATTCCCCTAATTGAAAACCTCTTTAAAGGCAACCTCTTTCTTTTGGCTGCAGATACATGTCCTGATATAGCCATCCATCCATTATCTACTTATTCACATCCTGTCCGGTATGCCCTCCTACAGATTATGTACAAGTTGTCCCGCCAGTTGGCCTACAATCCCGTGGCCAAACGGGCCGCCGAACAGATGCGCATGAAAATTGAAAAGTTTCGCGTCTATTTGCCCGTTCTGGATTCGATTTGTCGCCATGGACTGGAGAAGCGGCACTGGGAGCAGATATCAAAGATACTGGGACGCAAGGTCAATCCGAAGCTGTTCCCGTCGCTTAAGGACATGATCGATGTCGATATTATGAGCATACTGCCGCAGCTGGAGGAGATTGCGAATGCGGCGGGCAAGGAGTACGACCTGAATATGGGTCTGAAGAACATGCAGGCCGACTGGCGCGATGTGATGTTCGATGTGCTGCAGTACCGCGACTCGGACACGCACATACTCGCGAGCATCGACGATATACAGACGCTGCTGGACGATCACATTATGCGAACGCAGGCCATGAAACGTTCGCCGTTCATTGTGGCCCTGGGCTCCAAGGCGGACGACTGGGAGGCCCGTCTGCTGCTCATCCAGAACATCATCGATGCCTGGACACAGGTGCAGGTGACGTGGATGTATCTGGAGCCCATATTTAGCTCTGAGGATATCATGCGGCAGATGCCGCTCGAGGGACGCAACTTCAAGGCGGTGGACAAGACCTGGCGGCGCATCATGAAGTATACGCTGAAGGATCGCCATGTGATGGCGGCCACCGAGTACCCAGAGATGCTGGAGATCTTCACCAAGGCCATCGAGGATCTGGAGACGGTCCAGAAGGGCCTGAACACGTATCTGGAGCAGAAGCGTTTGTTCTTTGCCCGTTTCTTCTTCCTGTCCAACGATGAACTGCTGGAAATCCTATCCGAGACGAAGGATCCCATGCGTGTCCAGCCGCATCTGAGGAAGTGCTTCGAGGGGGTGAGATTTTTCCATTTCCTTTTTGCTTTCCTTCTTTATGCTTCTCCTTGCTGGTGCTCCACAGATTGGCACTCTCACCTTTGACGAACAAATGGAGATCACGGAGATGATTAGCGACGAGGATGAACGCGTCTCTCTTGTGCGCAAAATCAATCCCCAGGCGGCCAATGTAAGACACCTCCTGCCTGACTTCCTGGCGTCCTGCACAGGATGTTTCGCTGATGATTTTCCCTTTGACCTGTACTGATGACTGATGCATTTGCAGGGCCTGGTCGAGATCTGGCTGAAGGAGGTGGAGATGGTGATGCTCGAAAGCGTCAAGGAGCAAATGCGCGAGGCGTGGGAGGACTACTCGATGGTGGAGCGCATTGCCTGGGTGGTGGCGTGGCCCGGACAGGTGGTGCAAGGCATTTCCTGCATGGCCTGGACCTATGAGGTGAGCAAGAGCAGCAGCAGCAGCAGGATGATTTCTTTTTGCTGCAAAAACCGCGAAAACCACAAGGGCCTCATCTCGGCTACCAAACAAATGTCCATCAGTTGGCTGTCAGACGAGAGAAGGAGAGAGAGAGAGAGAGCCGTCTCTCAGTGGCTCTGACAGTGAGATTAGCCCATGGTCCCAGGTCCCAGGTCCCAGACCTTCCGACTTATGGGCTTTGACTTTGAGAGAAGTTTTCTCGCGCGCTACGCACCGGCAGTGAAATTTAAAATCATATTTTGCTTTTTATTTGCCTTGGCTGCAGTTTCTCATACACTTTATACCTCTACTTTTCCCACCCCCTGTTTCGACCAGGTGGAGGAGGCCATTGAGACGAAGACGCTGCTGGCTTATTTGGAGAAGTCCAATGGACAGATTGCCGACCTGGTGCAGCTGGTGCGCACGGATCTGCAGGCGGGCGTACGGATTGCAGTGGAGGCGTTGATTGTGCTGGATGTTCATGGTAAGTGCGGGACTTGGGCGAGTGATTAGCCATTCTCAGTGGCTAAATCTATGTGCAATCCGTTGTTGCAGCACGCGATACGGTCAAATATCTGACGGATACGAAGGTGGCCAACATACAGGACTTTGATTGGATCTCCCAGCTGCGCTACTACTGGAAGGTCGATGACAGTGAGTCGCATTCCACCTTCGCATTGAGTTGGTCCTCCCATAAATCATATTCTTTTGCATAGAAAACGACGATTGGGTATGCGTTAGCATGGTGGTCACAGATGTCAAATATGGCATGGAATATCTGGGGAATCTGCCCCGACTGGTGGTCACTCCACTAACAGATCGCTGCTACCGGTGGGTACTCCTCTTCCTTGCCCTGTCTCTGTCCCTGTTCCTATTCCTCACTCTCTTTCTTTATGGGAATATTCAAAATATTAATTGACAAACCGTTGGAAAAGCAGCTGTGTGCTCGCTTACCCCCCCTAGCTCTCGCTCTAAAAGTCAGGAACGTTTATTGGAAAAATATTTATTTTATTTTGCTGCATTTTAAATTTATTTTCATTTTTGCAAACAAAATACGCCAAAAAAAAAATGGAGCTGAAAACCTTTTTGATGTTTAAGCTGGCTACCGTATACGACAAACACACACAAAATAATACCAACAATAACCAGGCGGGGACCTGGAAGAGAGACCAGAGGATCTGGGCTCCAGCAGGACACACAGGCTGACTGCCGGGCTGACTAGATGGCAGGCTGCAGGCCAGGCCAGGCCGTGCTGTGCCGTGCCGTGCCGTTGCTGGCAAGCTGGCAGAAAGGACATTTTAATGGGGTTTCCGATAAAACTTTTATATTAAACAAATAAATCAATGTTGGACAGTTTTTCACACAAACACAACAACACATACATATACACACACATGTATCGATAGTTAAAAAACGAATGAGGGAGGAAAACAGAAAAACAAAAAAATTGAAACCGAGTATATAGATATTTCGTATGGCTATGGCCGGAAAAAGCTAAAAAATATATGCGCAGGCGGCCCAACCAAACCCACCAAAGTGGGAAGTGGACTCCCTGCCAATATGATAAAAATATGAACTGAAAAATAAAAGCAAAACAAGCAGTAGAAAACAGCAGCTGAAATGTATGAAAATATGTGTACATGTTATCCATGGGAATGGGTCTCGAGCCAAGGAATGCCCTAGAAAATGTGTCAAAGCAAGCTAAACATTGTGTAGATTTGGTGGGGCGAGGGGAAGCGAAATTAACAAGTTTATGATTCAAGATTAATATTCAGAATATAAGGTGCAAAAGTATTAGTCTTTCAGTGAATAGATCTGAAATTCAATAGATAGATTTGCCAATGATCCATGAAGGAATAGGGTAGGGATAGATAGATATTTTATAGAGAGAAATATAAATGAATAAGGGGTGAATAGTGCATAGATATGTAGTTGACTTACTGGTAGATTAAAGGTAAGAGGAGCATTCCAGATAAGACAAAAACATATCTGAAAATACACACAAAACCTCAGATAAATATAAAATTTAGTCAGTAATATTAAACATCAATCCATTGTTAGTAGATTCATTTAAATTATAGTTGAAAAACAAATTCACAAAGAAGACCATTAGACTAAATTAAAGAATAGAATGCTTTGCCTATCAACATTTCTCCACTTTTTTCCCCCTGCCAATATTCTACCTACAAGCAAACATAATGGCCCAGTCCGTATACCCCTTATTGAGCCATAATTCTCAACGATTGCTGCTAGCTGGACAAAGCTATGAGAGGGACAACATGGGAGAAAAAATAGCCATAAATGACAATTTTTTAAGCTGCTGCCCGTGAGAAATGTGAAAAAATGCAAAATAGATATTAAAAGCATGCAGCCAGGCCAGCCAACCAACCCCCTTACCCTCTGCACTAGCCCCATCTACATAGTTTTTATGGCTGCTCTTATACTAAAACCTTGACTATTTTCTAATTCTCTGTTTTGTGTGGCAGTACTTTGATGGGCGCCCTCAAGCTGTGCCTGGGCGGTGCGCCCGAAGGACCCGCCGGCACTGGCAAGACAGAGACCTGCAAGGATCTGGCCAAGGCCGTGGCCAAGAAGTGTGTGGTCTTCAATTGCTCCGATGGTCTGGACTACAAGGCGCTTGGCAAGTTCTTCAAGGTGAGTGAAGCTCCCACACAACAGCAACAACAGCAGCAACAACATTTTTCTATTAACAAAAGCGTCGCACTGTCTGCGACGGTCTGCGGCGGGGGCTGCGGCTGCTCTGCTCCACAGCTTGGCTTTCTAATTGATGGCCGAAAAGAGAATCAAGAGTCAAGAGCATTAATCAGGCAAAGAACTCGTCTGGATGCGGCGGCACACACGCAACAATCATGAGCACCACTCATAGATGGGAATGTGAATGTGTGGGCCAGTCGGTTTAATTTGCCACACGCTGAGTTCTTCATGTCAGACACAGTGGAGCCTGCTCTGCCCTGCCTTTCCCCTTCTCACACACACACACAAAGCAGAGTGTGTCCCAGTATGTGTGTGCATTTGTGTGTTTATTGAAATTTATGCAGCATTCGGGATAATCGCATTTGCCCGGACCGTTGACTAATTAGTCAGTTTGTGAAAGTAATGGGCCGCGGAGGCGGCCTGCCCTCTGTCTGCCCTGCCTGCCTGCCTGCCGGGCTTTCGTGCAGGTCCCACTTAAGGTTTATGCAAATTTTTATTTACAGGTCGTTAACCGAGAGCAGAGACCCCCCTGCCCCTGCCCCTGCCCCCTCCCATATGCCCTCACGCACATCTTAAGTGGGTGCTGAAATCTTGTCGTAAATTTTATATATAGGCTATAATCGCTTAATACGCTCTCACGCGGCTAATTGCATAATAGTTTTAAGCCACGTTCTTTGGAGAGGGGTATGTGGGGGAGAGACACCATAGATCAAGCAAGCTTCAGCCTCATTTGCATGCGATTTCTATTATATATAGAGAGGAGTGGAGAGGAGAGAGGAGAACAGAGCAGAGCAGAGCTGAGGAGCATCTACTTTTTGGGGCCAACCACCAGGCAACATTTTGTGTAGTTTTTGTGTGTCGCAAATGGGAATGGGGAACGGGGAACCCATTAATTGGCTCGGTTCTCAATTCTCAATTTTAATTAATGAATTTATGCGATTGGCGACCACTTGGACTGGAGTGGAGTGTTTAACATTTGTTTATTCTATTTTATTGCTTAATTTGGTTTGCGGCTCATCCAAAGACCAAGATCGAAGACGACTCGAATGATGATAATGATTGCCCCTCTCCATCTCGTAGTCTAGTTTTAGAAAGTCGTTCTCTGTGTGTTCTCTGGTGTGTGGCGTGTGTCACCAACAACTGGATGATGATTGTCATTATTCTGTTCTAATAATCTATAGGAAGAATATCCGTATACTACTGCCACGCTCCCACTCTCTGCCGAACAGCCAGACAGACAGACTTTTGCTTTGTTGCCATGCCATGCCATTCCGTTTCATTCTGGGCCATGTCTCTGGGCGAAGGGGAAACAATGTTGCGACAATAAAATAATTTGCAATTGACAGAATATTCGAAATATGCCAAAGCAATTTCTGCATCACAGAGAGAGAGAAGAGGAGGAGAGAGAGCGAAGTAATCGTAAATAAATTAAATGCAAATAAAATGGCCACAACAATGGCAGAGAACTGTTGTCCGGGGAGAGTCCGGGCTGTGTGGCATGCGGCATCCACAATGCCACGCACCAAACAAAAGGCGCATCCAATGGATTGCAAAAAGTTATCGCAGCGGCAGCGGCAGCTGCAGAAGGCACAGCCAGGAGCAGTATAGGGAGCAGGACAGGACGTTGGGTTAGTTGCCGATGCCGCCAAACCACTCTGAATGGAGTTCAAAGTGTGCGCTGTGCCACTTTTTTTTTGTTTTGTTTTGTTTCTTTGCTCTTTGCCGGGGTTTCCATTCCACGGCATCCACTCGCGCTCCGCCATCCTCCGTTTGTTCCTCTGGACAAACAAAGTGCTAACAAAACAACAGCTCCTCCAACACCCTCACCAGCGACAGCGCCAGTGCCAGCGTGGCACTGGTGGCCAATGCAGAGGCGCTAATTGTACAATAGCCGCATGCCAAGCATCCAGGACAAGCAACGACGAGTGGCAGAGCAGAGCGACAACACAGTGACTGGAAAAAGCGTGCGAACTCGCAATAGAATGTAAACTAGCTGTGTGGCTACCAAGGAGGCGGAAGGCCAATAGAGCAGGCCCTTCCCTTCCTTCCGGGCATTCAACACAACATCTGTATCCAGAGGTGTGTTTCAGTGGGTTATTGTTTCTCAAAAGTTCCCATATTTGAAGGGGTATACGTAGGGATATACGTAGCTACGCATATTTACTACATGCACAAAATTCAGTAATTTCTAGTAATTGTTTAAGCTATTGGCATGTTGCAGTAAATGTTGAATTCAATAGAAACCATGAGAGAAAACAACCGTACACAATATTCCAGTTGTTAGTGCTGCAAATAACTATTGTACAATGTTGTACATTTGATACTCGCATTACATACATACAAGCATATTGTTTCTCCCTTCCATTTTCATTCTCCCGGTACGGGGCAGGGGCGCGGCCCGTTGCTGGCACCATACATAGATTTCCCTAATTAAGTGAAACTCAAACCTTTTCTTCAATTAACCATGCAATATCAGTGGCCTGGTTCTGGCCTGGCCGAAGGCAACTCAAAGGGACATATCACATGCAGTTTCATCGATACAGTTGGACCAGACCCGGACCAGACCCAGTCCAGACCCAGCCCAGCCCAGCCATTCCTTTCCCCCTTAACCAGTCCCCGCGCTGATGTCGATTCAGCTCCAGCATATGCCACTTGCAGTCAGGTCAGTTCTCTGCTATTTTGTGCTGAAGTAAGGGCTCGGGATAAAACAGCATATTTATTGCAACATGCAAAAACGAAGGCATATCAAAGGGTCCAACCCATATCGACCTCTGGCCCTGGCCCTCGGACACAGACCCGCCACCCGTACCCGGGGAGAGAACACTGAAACCAGAAACCGAGAGCCATGAGAAAGAGAAAATAATGTTTATGCTGCTATTTGCTTTTTCCACGACTGTTTCGACGTTGTGTGTGTGTTTGTGTGTGTGCGGCCGTGGTATCCCTTGCACTTCTGTCCAGGAATTTCTGTTTCTATTTGTGTTTTTATTTTTTTTTTTGCCAGCGCTGTTCTGGTTCTGGTTCTGGTTCTGATTCTGATTCTGTATCCTCATCTATGGCGTTTGTTTCGTTGCAGGGACTGGCACAATCGGGCGCCTGGGCCTGCTTCGACGAGTTCAATCGCATCGAGCTGGAAGTGCTGTCGGTGGTGGCGCAACAGATCCTAACCATACAGCGGGCCATCGGACGCAAGGTTGTGAAATTCTTTTTCGAGGATACAATGCTCAAACTGGATCCGACTTGTTCCATATTCATAACCATGAATCCCGGGTGAGTGCTGCCCCAACGGATGGGGGCGAGAGTGTGCAGGCATGTGGCATGGGGCATGTTGTGTCCGTCGAGTGGGAACACCAGCTGCGGTTTCACGCATCGCATTTTTTCCACACATTCTCCTTCGTTTTGGGTGTGTGCATTTGAAAATGCATTTAGTTACTTTGTAAGCCCCTTCCAACCTACCCACTCCCCGTATACGGCCTACACAGAAGGACAGAGGACACAGAAAGGAGCGTACAAGCCATAGCCGGATCTGGTAGCAGTTCTCTGACGTGGACAGGGCTATTAGCCAGCCGCCACTGGGCCTCCCCGGTGGAAAGTGGAGCGTATGGAAGGTGGGAAGGCCTGCCTGTCTCTGTGCGTTCCGATATTGGTAGTTATTGCGTTATTGGAGATTTTCCCATCGGGATATTTATTGCTTTGGCATGCATGCGGAACAGCTGCGACAAACATGCATATTAGCCCTCGAGTTCCAGTTTCAGTTCCAGCTACTCCTCCTCCTGCTTCTGCACCTCCTGCTCTCTATCCATAACTGATTGTGCCATTCAGCGAAGGTCTTCATTTCGATTGGACGTCGCTTTTGCTTTTGCCTTTGCCATTGCCAGCAGGCAGGCATCCTCTTTTTTTGGTCCCACTCTTTGGGTTTGCTTTTTTTTGCTTGCTGCCTGTCTGCCAATTTGTCACGCAACCAGACGTTCTTAAGAGCAGTCACTCATATTGGTTATTGGCAGGACGGGCACTGGGAATGGGTAAGTACTGGGTACTCGGGCTCCCATGTGCTCCCTCCTGTGTTTAGTATTTATGCCATTAGCACTTGCACTTTGATGAATTTGATTGCCCAATGCACCGTTCTAATCCTGCTCTGTTGTTTTTCCCTGTCCTGTCCTGTCCTGGACACACACACAGCTATGCCGGTCGCACAGAGCTGCCAGACAATCTGAAAGTGCTGTTCCGCACAGTGGCCATGATGGTGCCCGACTATGCCATGATCGGAGAGATCACCCTGTACTCCAACGGCTTCGATATGGCCCGCAATCTATCGCAGAAGATCGTCCAGGCCTACAAGCTCTGCTCGGAGCAGCTATCCTCGCAGTCCCACTACGATTACGGTGAGTACGAATGCGATGCAATTATTTTAGAACTGACGGCATCCGGGGATGCCGCCTCCACCTGGCTAATAACGCGCAAAAGTAGTCAACAACACGTGTTCCTTTCCATCTCTCCAAAGCACAGCAGAGAAGTTTTCTTTTCCGTTCCCAGGCGGGAGAAGGAGGCCAACAACTTTCCGGTTGTCTCATGTCCTGCTCGGTGCGTGTTTTTTCTCTGGCTCTGGCTCTGGTTCTGGCTTGAGCATGGGCTGTAGCTATTCTTTTTGCTTGTTTCAAGGCAAAATATATTGCTCCTTTTACGACGTAACATGTCATATGACATTACAACATGTCCGTCTCTCTGTGTGTGTGTGTGTGTCTCCGTCTGTTGTCTGGTAGTCTACGACTCCGTCCGTATCCGTATCTATGCGCATCTTTGTCCAGCCGCTAGCTGCAGCAATTGCAGCAGTCAGGCAGGCAGGCAGCAAGGCTTACCTCTCCCTCTCTCTGTGCAGCTGTGTGCAAGTTTATGTGCAAAGTACATTTGATCAGTATCTTATTTTGAGTTTAAATTGAAAAACTTTCTTGCAAGTTTGCTGCTGCGCTTTTGTGCATCGTGTGTGAGAGACAAATGTGGCATACAGACATAGAGACATGGACACATACAGACACACACACATGTTTGTTGGCCCTTTCTTCTCCAACAGTAATAATAAAAACTATTTGTACACTTACCCTGGAAGTCCACCACCTCCTCCTCTCTGCTGTCCTGTCCAGCTGTTTTTGCAACGTTGCAAAAGTTTAGCATTTCCCTGGCGCTATAATGAAGCTCTGGCCACAGGCAGGACGGGAGCCAGGCTCCTCGACGCCATCCAACGCCATCAAATACCTGAAACATAGCCGAGACGGAGCTGAGTTATGCGCTCGCATAAATGCCAAGCTAATGCCCACGACCCTACCGCCCACTCTCCCACCCCTCCCTCTGTGTAGTGTTAGTACTTACATTCTCAAACTATAATTCCTTCCTCCCTGTTCATGTCCATGTCCATCTATCCATCGACACAGGTATGCGCGCCGTCAAGTCCGTGCTGCTGGCCTCCGCATCGCTGCGACGCCTCTACGTGGACCTGCCGGAGCCGGAGATTGTTTTGCGTGCCATTGTTGATGTCAATTTGCCGAAATTCCTCGAGCAGGACATTTCCCTCTTCATTGGCATCTACATGGATCTCTTTCCAGGCGTCACTCTGCCCATGGTAAGCGCTGCTCGAATCATATTTCAGGTTTAATGAGCTGCAAGCGATGCCAATTAATGCGATAAGCGGTAATTAATTATACAAATATATTTATATATATAGAGTAAAGAAGGGTATATGATATATGTATGTAATACTCGTACACCTACCTGTATGTACCCGAATGCGGATGAACGAAAGTTAAATACGCTTGAGAGGGAGTGGGTGGGTTTTGTGTCTGTGTCTCAGTATGTGTAGACAGGCAAAAAGTACCAAGGGCTCTATGAAGAACATCTCCCGTAAAGGATTCTGAAAGTAATAAGAAAAGTTTAAGCTTAGCATTTTAGGAATTGAAGAAATAATGGCTATGGAAATAGTAGATTTTCGTAATGCTTGGTAGCAATAGAAAGTAGACATAATTATTTCTAGCTGATCTAATATGTAGATAGATGTTAGCTGAAAAAATCATGTACCATTGAAATGTATGTGCGTTACCCTTAAACTATGTTATTCCCAATAATATCATGCGGAGGCCAGCAGCACGTTTCAAAAAAGCTAAAACCAATTTACCAACTGCTGCCGAAGAAATTACACTTCATATTTTATTTTATTTTATTTCAAAGTTTTTTTCATATTTTATTTATCCATTCTTGCCATCGCCGGGATAGCCGCAACGCGACGATATACTCAAGTGGCTGCACATCAACCTGGAGGCGAGAAATCTGCAGGCGACACCGTGGTATTTGGAGAAAATTCTGCAGATATACGAGATGCTGCTGGTGCGGCACGGCCTGATGATTGTCGGCGGCTCGATGGGTGGCAAGACCACCGCCTACCAGGTAAGAGCTGCGACCATGGATGGTCCATGGAACATGGCTGAAAATATTTCAGCCGTACGTTTATTAATTTCGCCGGGCAGCCAATTAAATGGCCTGGAATTAATGAGTCAACAAACGACTCAATCTCGGCTACAGCTACTGCTACACCTCCTCCTTTTTCTCTTGCTGCCGCTCTCCCTCTCTAGATGCTGGCCCTGACGCTGAAAAATGTGTCGACGGACGAGGAGGCAACACTGCGGGAATATCCGGTCGTGTTTCGCATCATCAACCCAAAGGCCATCACCATGGGCCAGCTGTACGGCCGCTTCGATCCCATCTCCCACGAATGGTCCGACGGTGTGCTGGCCAAGACGTTCCGCGAGCAGGTGCAGGGGCCGCGCAGCGAGCGTGCCTGGGTCATGTTCGATGGTCCCGTGGATGCGGTGTGGATTGAGAATCTCAACACGGTGCTGGACGACAACAAGAAGCTCTGCCTCATGTCCGGCGAGATAATGCAGATGACAAAGCTAATGAACATGATGTTCGAGCCCGCCGATCTGGAGCAGGCCTCCCCAGCCACGGTCTCCCGCTGCGGCATGATATACATGGAGCCCTCGCAGCTGGGCTGGCGCGCCTTCCACAAGAGCTTCACCAATATCCTGGTGAAGACTGTGGGCCTCAGCGAAATCTACATGACGCTGTTTGAGGACATGGTCGAGTGGCTGATACCTGCCGCCCTGGAATTTCTGCCGCAGTGCAAGCAGATGCTGGAACTGTCGCCGATGTATCAGTACCAGACATTCTCGCGCTTCTTACTGCACTTCCTCGACAAGCACAAGGTGTTCACGCAGGTGTGGTTCCAGCAGATGTTCCTCTTCTGCTATGCCTGGGCCTACTGTTCGGCCCTGACGGGCGCCGGCCAGCGCACCTTTGACGCGCTGCTTCGCAAGGTGATCTATGGCTCGAGCGAGGACTACCCCAAGCCAAAGTACTTTTCACTGAATCGCGGTCAGATGTTCCCTGAGAAGCTGCTGTTCCTCGATTACCGCTTCGACGAGGCCGAGAACTGGTGGACGTGGCAAAAGTCCTCGGACGATCCCTCGTCTGCGATTACCAACTTCCCCGATGAGGCGCAAATCAGCGAACTGATCGTCCCCACCAAGGAGACGGGCTACATCTCCTACTGGCAGGACTTTTGCATTTCCAAGTCCTACGGCATGATGGTCGTCGGACCCACGGGCACGGGCAAGAGCGCCATCATCACCAGCAACCTGCTGGCCCTGCCCAAATTCGCCAATCTAGTGAACATCATCAACTTCTCGGCCCGCACATCGGCACAGATGGTGCAGGAGACTATCATGAGCAAGCTGGACAGACGGCGCAAGGGCGTCTATGGGCCATCGCTGGGCAAGAAGGTAGCTACAAGATCTCCCAATCGAATGTACTTAACCCTTTAAATCTCTGTGTATTAAGTGCACTGTTTTCTGTGATGATGTGGCCATGCCCTCGAAGGATACATATGGCTCACAGCCGCCGCTGGAGCTGCTGCGCACTTGGATGGACCATGGCTATTGGTCGGATCTGGTGGATACCACAAAAATCGAACTGGTGGACATGGTGAGTGCAGTGTGCATAAACTGTCCATAAGTTATCTGTGAAATCATCAGTTCATCCTTCATTTGGCTGCTTCCTCTCTCGTTCCGTTCACAGACTCTGATGTGCGCCATGGGCACTCTGGGTGGCAGCAACTTCATTTTTCCGCGTCTCTATCGCCACATGTTTGTGGTGGCCGTCGATTCCTTTGAGGACTCGACCATCGTTCGCATATTCACGGCAATTGGTGATTGGCATTTCGCCAAGGGTTATCCCGACAAGGTGTCTCTGCTATCCCGGGTATGTATCGCCCTGTCCCCCAAACACACCCACAAAAATCCACACACAGCGCACAGAAATGGAGACAGGATGGCAAGGAGGCGGCGGATGGTGATTGTCTGGTTTGGTCTGGTCACTGGAGTCAATGGAGTTCGTGTTTGGCTCGCATCCAAGCGATGGGCGCATAATAAAATTAAAATGGCGTATTTTATGGCTTCATATCCCCCCCCAGAAAAGAACTCTGTACCCTGGACTCGGTTTCTGTGTGTCTCTCTATATCTGTGGCTGTTGTTGCTGTAGCTTTTATTTTTATTGAGGATATGTGTGTACCATTTTATTTCTGTTTTCTGTTGGTGTTTGTTGCAGGGTTTGGCCGAGGCAATGGTCAGCGTATATCGCGAGGCCATACGCACCCTACTGCCGACACCGGCCAAGTCCCACTACTCGTTCTCCCTGCGCGACATCACCCGCGTCTTCCAAGGCATCGTGATGGTCCCAGCCAAGCGGATGCCCGACCCCGAAAAGCTCGGACGCCTGTGGGCCCATGAAACTTATCGCGTATTTTATGACCGGTGAGTGCGAACTCTGTCTGTCTGGCTGTCATTACACATATGTATCTACGTATATGTATGTATATCTGGTTGCAGTTTGGTGGACCAGCGGGATCGGGATCGGCTGCTTATCATGGCCATTGATGCCTGCAAGACCTGTCTGCGCTTCCCCCTGGAGCAGGCCTTTGCGGAACGCATCGAACCCGGGGAGAAGCTGAGCGACAATGATATACGGAATCTGTTCTACGGCAACTACATGGAACCGGACGCCGAGCCCAAGTTCTACGATGAGGGAGAGAGCTACGAAAAGCTGGAGAAGCTCATGAAGTACTATCTGAGGGAGTATAACTCCTTCTCGAGTACACCAATGGATCTGGTTATGTTCCGCTTTGCCATTGAGCATGTGAGCAGGTAAAAGGGAATGGTCCTACGATTTATGTAGTTCTCCCACTGAAATCTCTCTCTCTCTTTGTCTCTTTAGGGTTTCCCGAGTGCTGCAAATGCCGCGTGGCAACATTCTAATGGTGGGCATGGGTGGTTCGGGACGTCGCAGCTCGTGTCGATTGTCCGCCTACATAGCCGACTGCCGCCTGATGACAGTGCAGGTGTCCAAGAGCTATACGATTACCGACTGGCGGGACGATCTCAAGAAGATACTGATGTCGGCCAGCTTTAATCTGAATCACACCGTTTTCCTCTTCTCCGATGCTCAGGTGAGTGACAGATAGAGATCTGCGCGCTTGGTTAATGTGTTCGCCGTGTTGTTATGCTAATCCGCCTGCGGAATGGCTATTATTTAACATGGCTGTAAGCCGTAGAGAGCTTTAATCAAAACCACCAGGGCAGAGGGAACAACAAACCCATAAACCCTCAGCCTCTGCGCTACCTCCGACTGTTGTACTACACTCAGAGAAAAATGGCAAAGTTAAAAGAAATATACGCGCATTTAATTTAAGTATTCGGTTATTAAAAAAAAATGTAGGGAAATAAAATGGTATTAATTTTAAACATAAAGGTAGGAAATAAAAAATATGTATAGGAATATAGGAAGTATAAAAAAACCTTTAAAAATATATAGGAAATATATTATTATATATTACATTACTTTAGTTTAAATATAAATAATATTTAAATGCAAATTTGCATTGTAAAATTTTCACGCTTGAAGGAATTCTATTCGATTGGTATACATGTTTTAATTCAAGTGTAAATATTCGATTATTATCCCTTTTTTCTCTGAGTGTATGTAAATTGATAAATTAAACTGAAATTAATTTGAATATTCTTGGAAATAAAACAGACTTTACACACACACACAGACACACAAAGAACGGAGTGGAGTGGAGTCGGAGATGGAGATGGACTGTCTTGCATGTGGAATAAATCAACAATTGAATGTCGACTAGAATCCGTTTTCAATACGGAAGCTTCACAGCAGAGCAGAGCAGCAGCAGCAGCAGCACTCATTGTTTTGGCCAGCATTTGCATTTATAATTAGGTTAATTGTTCAACTAACTTGATTATTGCTCAGTAATTTGCATAGGCAGGCAGGCAGCACCAAATACCAACCAACAGACAAACCAAATTATGGCAAATCAACAGCCCAATGAGTAGGCTCAACAGCAGCAGCAGCAGCAGCGGCGGCGGTGCACAGTTCGGAGGCTTAAATCCAAATTAAATGTTGGCCAATAAATTAGCATGGCCAAAAATACCAAATACCAATATGCCAAACAATATGCAGGTGCTTACACACATTTATTGTTATACATTTTAATCAGTTCAATTTCGTTTCGAATCGGATCGGATCGGTCCTTTGTGTGTGTTTCTGCATGCCACACCATTTGACCGTGAAGCGTGACCGAAAGCCGCATAGGAAGCCATTGGGCCGGATTAAAACTGCCCCCGTAATTATGTGTGTTTGTTGTTGTGTTTTTTCCACTACTAAGCCCTCACACACACACACAAAACAATAATCAATCGAGAATCGAGTATCGAGTATCGTGACTACTGTAGACATTCATTGGCTGCTCGGCCTCTGGGGCCAAGAAATCGT